CCATAATCTAACCTCTGCTGCAAAGATTGAGCCTCTCTGCCCAAGAAAACACAGGGAGAGGGCCAATCCCTTCCTTACTGCAGAAGGCAACCCTCCCCATAGTCCCACATAATTTGTCCAGTGGGTAAAAATTTCTTCCTGACCCTAAATAGGGTGATTGGTGTGACCCTGAGCCAAGGGGCAAGACCCTCTAGCTGGGAACCTCCAGTTTTAAGTCCCAGTAGGAGCAGTGGCACAGCCCAGTCAAAATCCCCAGCCTGGTTTGCAGACAACACCCAATGCCTACAAGAGAGTCTCAAAAACACCCAGCCACATGTAAAGCCTTCTAATACTCCCCTATAAAATGATAGCTTTGGTATGCCTGTACTAGACTCAGTCTACTCCCAACAGATCTCCTAGTACTTGTGCCAGCCACGAGAGCCCTAGTGTAGACGAGGCACCGGCAGCCTCTTCCCCCTACAGTGCTGCAGAGATGTTGGTGGTGAAGCTACGTTCAGCTTCCCCTAGGCTCTAAGCTAATTTGAGTCCCTTTTAAAACACCCCTCTGTCTGATCCTACCACCACCATCAGCCCCATACACTCTGCTGTAGAAGTGCTTTGGAGACCCACGACACCAAGAGGTTTAACCCCGTTCCCTTGCCCTCTGTGAAAGCAGCCCCTACTTACTTCAAGGCACTCTCCAGTCCTGAGAATGGATTCTGGGCCATGACAGAGTCCACCTCCACCTGAAAGAGATTGCATTACCTTTGGCACCATGAAACATCTGTTTCCTGAGATACAACCCCCATCTGAATGGCCCCGATATCCCCCTGCAACAGAGACACAGCTCATCTAATACCCTGCCCCATGCCCAGGATCTCCCACTTGCTCTCCTGGGCCAATTTCCTCAGAAATGGGGGACCCTCGAGTCCATATTCTGGAACTTAAATAGGTGCCTCTGAAAACAAGAGCATATAAGTGAAGGCTGTTAACCCATCTGTGTAAGGAACCTAGATTATAATGGCTAAGAAACAATTTGGAAGCACGGAAATTGCAGGCCAAATGCAGCGAATTTACAATCTAACCCTGGTCTCAGTCTGCCCCCCTGCATCACATCCAGCAAGGGTGGCAGAAGGGGACATTAGTCTCACAGCAATAAGATCAGGCAGCTACCAACCTAGGACATGATAAGGTAACAGCTCCACCAGTTACTCCATCAGGAGAATTTTTACCATCTTTTCTCTGATGCCTGATGAAGTGTGTTTGGGACCGAAAGCTTGCAGTTAAAGAATTTTTTTTGCATAAAATCTCGTTGGTCTAATAAAAGATGTCATCTCTACTATGAGTCCCTGGATTGCTTTTTCCTCTAGACCAATACGGCTACAAGCTGGATACCTAGCTCCATCAATGGCATCTTCCTGTAGGCAACAGAGGTGGAGCATCTGGAGGAAGAAAATGAGTGAGAACGGGGCAGTGGTGTCAAAATGGTTTGGGCAAGAGCACGGAGATGGAGCATAGATGAAGGCTGGAAGAAATAAACACCAGGACAGCAAGGAAGGAGAATAAAGAGGGGGAAGAGGAATGGAAAAGGAGCTAGATGGACAGAGACCAGGGGAGGGCTGGGAATACAAGAACAAGGCCTTTGATAAGGCTCTGTATACAATTAGGACCCTGACAGTACCCCAGAGTTTTATGTGGTCGAAACATTTCAGACAAACCGGCTTTTGCTCCTGCACAAACAAGGATCTGTAAAAGTGGACATAAAAACACATTTGAATTCACACAGAATCACAGAAGTTGAGGGCTGGAAGGGACCTTACAGAGCATCAGGTCCAGCCCCCCTACTCGAGGTGGGAAAGGCTGCTGAGGTCAAACAACCCCAGCAAGGTGTGCATCCAGGCTCCCCTTGAAGATCTCCACAGTAGATGCTGAAGCCATCTGTAGCCAGGAAAGAAACCCCATCCCCCTATAGTGCCTTGAAGGGGTACATTATTTCATTACGACATTCAATTCACTCAAGCGAGTGGTATGCAACATGGTGGTGGTGTGGGGGGGGTTGTTATGAAGGGAGGCATTTCTTTTTTTTTTTTTTTTTTTTTTTTTTTTTTTTTT